GATATATGGTGGCTTATAGTGTTACTGATGATATGGCCATCGATAGAGTAGAATGATAAGACAATATTTACGTAAATAACCCCCAATAGTAGGATAGTGCTTGGATGACGACGATTTTTATTTTTCTGAGATTGACTATTATGATCAAGAGATTACAACCCCAAAATACCTTTAGATTGCGCTTTGCTCAAGGCAGCAAATGGATAGTATTCTCTCGAAGAGCAATAAACCATTTCAGTTTCTATACCATACATTGTACATTTTCATGCCCAAGTGTAATGCCTATCTATACCTGTCATTGTCACTTTTCTTAATATCCCCCTTTCAGTAATTTTTGATCGTTTGTTTTACCTTGTACATGATAACAACGTTTACAATTGATAGAAAATGGTCAATCTATGGCCATTAGATGTCAAATCGGGTCGGTTGTATTGTTGACAATTCGAAGATAATTTTCCTCAGTTTGAATGTTGCATGTCGACAATTCGAAGAAAATTTTACTTATTCTTTTCCGGAAAATTGAAATCCCAGCCATGCAAATTTAAATCGAACAACATGAGGTGTTTGTGACCTTTATATATTGGAAGTAATTTATGGAATATACTGTACTTAGTTTTGTGGGTTCTAGGAATATAAACATTAAGGGAGTAAATTTATCACTTTCGATTGTGTAGGAGACCCACAAAGGTTCAAGATAGCCTTCAAAAAACTCACCTTCAACCGAAACAGATATCGTAACTTCAAATGAATCCCTTTGAAGGGGAGTGATCTTTGGAATACAGTTGAGTCCTTTAAGGGCCCCTCACCCAATCAAGATTCATTTGGGGGAGAAACTATTGTTGCAATAATGTATCTTGAGACCATGAAATACTTAACACTAAACAGAAATAGTGATTCCTACATACCAAAAAATAGAGAGAGTTGAAGTTCGATGATGGATAGAGCAATAAAATTTTGATGATCATAATAATAGTTAATAATAGTATTAGAGAGATGACATGAGAAAT